TATATATAAAATGAAAGATATGCAACTAAAAGAAGCGTGAACCGTTGGTTGCAAATACTGAATGAAGGAAATTTTCAGTTTGAAAATAAATTTTATCGAAGATATTGTGCCAAGATTAATCATAAAGGTTGAGAGATATGGTAGAAGCCGAGCTATCTCAAAGCACATAGATATGAGCGTTCAGGGCTGGCTTACGTACAATGTTTGTCCACTTCGCCCAAATCAAGAAGGTAAAAGATTGGACAAGTTAGTACTGCATAATATGAGCGGGAATCAAAAACGAAGACGTATAGATGCTTGCTTCTCCATGCTCTTACGACAAAGTAAATACTTCTATCGGTATTGAAATGTAACTTGTGATTAAACGATCTATCTTCTACCATAATGATAATAAATGACTTCCGTTATACGTACAGATTGTGTTTTCTACGACAATAGCAGGCGGCCAGATTAGTGGACAGACACAACGAAACTGGTGGTAAATTACTCTGTGTCCTGTCAATAGTTGGAGTAGATGATGAACAAGCTTCACATCAAGCAGCCGTTGTTAAAATTGAACGAATTCTATTGCATGACCTCTATTACACGAGTCATCGCTCAGATGGTGACAGAAGGTCATCGATACGAATGATGCATACTTCGAATGATGATTAAAAAACTATGTGAAGAAAGGTCGAAGGGCAAGGCTTCCCTATCCCACATTTGATACTGATTGACCTAATATATTTCAAAGGCTTCGTGCATGTTAAACGGAAGTTAGAGCTAGCGTTATATAAAGACTCAGTTATATACTACATTATTATATTATCGTTTCTGGAAGAACATTATCTCTTCTACAATTCTCCAAGTTGCAGCTCAATTAAATGTATATTTCCAAGTAAAAATTTGACATATTAGCTTCTCGGCATAACGTAGAGCAGTACAGGAGCGGACGTAGGTTGCATATGACCGAAAAATCTAGTTCAATGAAGACGCAGTTAGTTTCGCTTGAAACAGACGATCGTTTTGAAATATTTAATGCTGCTTCTTTTTTACGGTCGAAAACCTCAACTATGATTATTCGTGACTATGACGAGGCTATATTTAAGTCCTTTCACCTAGGTCAGGACAACTGCTTGGCTTCACCTCTTTATGACATGGAACCTATTCAATGCTACTTTTCCTTCGAAATACTTGTGGACGTATCGTAATAGTAATGAAGCCCCTTTAACGTCGATCGACTTGTATTCGTAAAGGCATAAAAAATAAACTTCTTTCTCATACAGAAGGTTCGTCTCTTTCAAATGTAGAGCTTCTTCTCCTGCTTAGGCTGAATAAGAGGCCATCACCGCATACGTAGATCAGCGACTTCCTTCGTGAAACATTAATTTCATCGATACGATCAGCAAATTGTCAGCTACTGTACTCTTGATACGTTTCGTTAATTACCATCAACGGGTTGCTGAGGTGGGCACAACTGCTGGGTAAGCAGCGTGCTCGGGGCCTCACACCACGCTTAAACCGCGCCCCCTACCAAACAACTCATCTGCATTTAGACGTGTTGACTTCAAGTAACCTCTCCATCCCTAGCCATTTGATGATGAATTTCTCAACGCTAAATAGTTGCTTTCGAAGCGAAATATTTTTTCGGCCAACGAAAATATCTATGGTACGGGAAACATTTTATTTGATAAATGCTTACAATATTTTTTTTTCAAACAGTTCTCAGAGTCAACATTTAGTACTTATTCATTATTAGTTAGTTAGCAGGAGGTACCGGTACAACACGAATCCGCATCTCCGTCAGGCCACACGATTTAAAAAATCGCTTACAAATACAAAGATGCATCCTTGTATGCGCATTGTTTCCTACACAAGTTAACTCTATTTTTGATAAATTGGTATTTATCGTAGCCAAATTAAAGTTAACGTTATGGTTCGTCAGAAAAATTCAAATCCTATAGCAGTTTATAGATAAAGCTTTTTCTTCAGCTAGTAAGTGACGGCTGGATGGATATACCTTAGCAAGATGTAAAGTTGCTAAGTCCTATTGATAGGATTCTAAACATTTTCAACTATGAACGATGATAAAACCATCTGGTTTCAAAGTGCCCATATTTATTACTGCAACGAAAACATTTCTTCAAACGGGTTCATATGAAAAATAGGGTTAACTGCAATAAAATCGGCTAAGAATAAAAAAATATACGCAGGAAGAGCAATGAATGCAGATTTTCTTCTGCATATGTTTCAGCTTCATTACGTCAGTGCTGTGTTCTATGTATGTATCTTTAGTGGGCCGTTAACGATCGTTGCACTACAAAGTCCCATATGCCGCAACGTCCCGGCCGCTCAGTGACTAACAAAACAAGCGAATTTTTACTGTTTTCTTTCTCCTTACCTCTTTACTACGCTACACGTGTATATATATATATAGGGGTGGAAGTACACACGGTATGTGTATACTTCCACGCTTGACCAGGCAGTCTTGTGATCGTGGAACGAATTCGCTTTGCCGGTTTTTTTGCCGTCCTTAGCCACTTCGTAATAATAAGTGGGCACAAATCGATGCAATGGCAAACAAAACTACATCAAACAACTAGTAGTCAGATCCTGAACTCTATTATAGTGCTGAACTACAGTGTTTTGCCTGTTTCCACTCGGTGGCTTCGAGTGGAAAATTATGATTGCTACATGTTAGAACTGTTTCCTCTGAATCTGTTCAAAATCCTTAATAATTTTACTTGAAACTCACACTTTGGTTCTGCGTCTGCCATTGCTAATTAGTGCTAAACCCAGTTCAACCAACCTATACGTAAAAACGAATCGCTAAGCTTAATGCGTTTTAAACGTTTAAAGTCTTTTTTTTTTCATTGCTTATTACAGCTATGACCGAATCAGCAGGTAAGGAAGGCGCCAGTTTTTCTATTAACCGTCATGTCAGATTCACGCGGTCCTGTTTGTGACAAATTACTGAAATAGGCAAATTTGAGGACGGTAAGACAAAAGCGACAACGAAACAAAAACAAAATTCATGTCCATTCCATTGATCTGTGTCGCAGACCTCTTCCCAAAGCTTAATTTATTTGTATGTACGTATGATTAAGGCTAATCATGGTTATCACTTATCAATTCACATATGTACTGATCTGGGCACACTTTCTCCCAAAGTGTGCCCAGATCAGTATAATCATAATAATAATAATAATAAAGTCTATTTCAAAGTTAAACAGAAAATTACGCGCTTCGAAAGCGCGTCCGATCCGTACACAGTGTTATTATTTTAACAGCACTCTACCTGCGCACGATCAGCGGTTGGCCTCGAACCTTCATAGTGTCTATGTTATTTGTACGATGACATAGTAATCATTTTATTTACATTTTGCCCTAAGCGCAAGCAAAAACATATCCTGACCGTACGGGCGTTATATAGAATTATATGGTTTACGGGCGTATTTTGATTAAAGCGTACTGACTATCGCTATAGTCAGATGCGAAGTGCAACCCAGTATCAAAATGTCCCTAACATGCAGTTGGATTAAAAGCTGTTGTCGTGTTATTTCAGTGCGCCTTTAAGCTGCGTTTTGTCCGCCGGCTCGAGACCTTCAACTGGGTCTCTCGGGATAATGGGTAGCTCCAAGACGAACCGCCGTAAAAGTTGGGACCGACGAAATTACTCGCCTGAGTTCAAGGCGCAGATGGCGCTGTCGCGAAATATCAGCATTTTACTCGAACAACTTTTGCGAAACTACGAAAACGATCAGAGACCTTATCAAGGAGGTAGGCACAGTTACGAGTCAATCGATTCTTGCAACGGTATCTGAATATTACTCCACTGAGATCATATTTTGTCTAGTCAAACGCATAACCACGTGATACGACAATAGCATTACTACAACATAGGTACCCAGACGTACCCGAGCCTTTTTCCCGGCACAATGCATCCATTAGAGTACGAACTAACACCGTTCGTATGAGCTAATCGACTCCGCTATGATGGAGCCGTCTCGAACAGGATACCGACACACAGATTTGCGGTGCAAACGAGTGAAGGAACCAATAATGAATTGAAGATAAATAGCTAAAGCTAGCATATACCGCGCCATCCTTCCACGCCTTCGACTAACGAAACGTTACATAAAAGCACTATTCCTTATGCAAGAGAACTGCACTCCAGTCTTTATATTTGGTTTATTTTATTGCGTCTTTTTCAGCTATTGTTGTTTGTATCGTCAGGTTATACCTTGTGAGGAAAACGTTATTCGCGTGAAGTGTTCATGCTTTTCGTAGAATAGGTTATACGAAATTTACTTTTAAATTCTATATTATCTTTTTTGTCTAAGCAGCACGCTAAGTAAGTTAGCATAAAAATATTCTATGAGATAATAAACACAGTACAAAGATACTTAGCAACTACGCATTGTCACGTTAGATATCGATATAAAATCTTGCTGAAAATTTTCAAGTCCCATCTGATTAAAATGTGGTTATAAAATTTCACTTAACCCCTGTCCTATCTATCCTTACGTGCGTAAGTGAGTCAATCATTGCTTAGGTCATTTATATCGGAGGCGAGCCTATGTTTCACCGCAACATAGGAATACTATAAACGTCATTCATGTAAAACATTCGGCAAGACAGATCGCTCACAGGAACAAGTTGTTTTGTCGGGCAGAGAACAACGGTGAGGCGTTTGTTTGGCGCGTTCTCTAGCTGCAGTCTTTGCAATCGGACGGATAGGTAGATCCGCCTTGGAGAACATCGGGCGGATAAGGCGTAGGCGAGTGGGCGTGTATCCGTAAAAAACGTTTGTTTCAGTTTTGGTTGTGACCGGCAGCCCATCTTTAGCTATAGCGGCTGAAAATAGCGATGCTGCTGCCGTTTGAGACGACTGCCTTGTTGTTGCTGTCGTCGTACGAGATTATGATAGAGTCGTTGGTTTCCTCATAAAGGCAAGAGAGGGAAAACGGAAAAGACTGAAAAAGAAGAAGAACAGAGCTGCGTAGTTTCTGGTGTTTACGACATTGCTCCTATGACAACTAGTAGTCATTGGTCCACTGACAAGCATTCATTCATTTATTAATCAAGAGTGTGAGGGAATAGGTACTCTGAGGTTTCAATAGACACGGTAGGCCGAGTGAGTCCTTCATCTATCCAACCTTCTATTTAGAGCCTCGTCCAGTTGGGTATTATCCTGATAATCATCTTTGTGGGCTGATCTTTCTTATGGAGGAACCTCAAAAGCAAATACAGCATCTCGCCGGCAAGAAGAGCATGTGTTTTCGTTTGAGTTCATTCGCGATGCCACGGTCACCTCTGATCAGCGTGCGGTATCACTCTTGTGAAATTGAAGTCTTGATCGACGGACTAGCGTTCGAGAAATGAGACAGATTGCTACATAACTGAACGGAGTGAGTCAACGAAGGTTTACGACGTCATGACTGTCGCGTAATACTCTATTTACCAACTTCCCTGTATAAAAATCGGGAACTACGAAGATGGAGGACAACGCATCAAGCTCTGATATAGTGGAGCTCTTTTTACGCGAGCCTAGTAGGCTGGTAAACTTTTTGCGAATCTTAAACACGATAAATTTCAGATCTTTCAAGAAAATACTATTTTGCATATGCCGAACTGTTAGGGCAAGTACATTGGCATGTGGTTTTCTGTGTATTTTACTGATCGTGTCCTCTGCTAGGAAAACAATCTGTCAAACTCACCCATAAGAAGCAGGATATATAGATATTCTAAATGTAAATTAGGCTGAATGCTTGTGATGTTGAAGAATGGTAGCAACAGTCAGCGAATTCACGTTAATCTTTGCTCGAATATTCTTACAGTTCGACCTACCCGCATCGAAACGAGTATGTTGATCCGGAGTATGGGCCCGGTCTCTGAACTCGACATGGTATGTTTTTTGAATACAGCAATAGTCTATAGCTCTTACATAACTCTTCCATTGATATACTCTGACTTTTTCAGAGCATCAGGTGCGCGGGAATTTCATGTTATCATTAGTGTTTTTTTTTTTTTTTTCGAAAAGTGGTCTACTTTGTTTGAAATACTCAACTCCGCTAAGTTATAACTCACGGGAGTGTAAGTCTTTTTATATATGATACATCACATACATACGTACGGAATAAAACTAAAGGCTTCACCAGCGAAAATAATATGTGTTTGTGGCCACAGCCTGTCATAGTTCACAAATCATCATTTTGGCAAAGCCTATTTTTAATAACAAAGATGTACCCGACAAGATATAACAAGATTTTACATGAAATAGAAAACAACATGAATTTTTTCGCTCCTTGTATGGCGATCCACTTGGTCTACTTGGCATTGTATTAGTTATTCCACTCGTGATCGGGTAGAGGTTTACTCTCTACAAGAGCAACCATGTCGATGTTTTGAAAGAATTCTCTTTTAAGAGCTTATATCATCGATACGTGTTAGCTATGTACTTTCGTATTACTGTTATAATATTGTTAAAAATATATATTGTTTTCAATCAATATTTAATAAGTGATGAGTCAGTGCAAAAGCAGACAAATAGGGTCTACGCCTTGACGAGGCATTTTGGCGAACTACGAAAATTGGCTCTTTGCCAGTTTGAAAATCACTTTCGTTCCCCTAATCACGGCATAACGAATACTACAGAGCCTCGTCCTACTGTGTAATATTCATCGCCGTACGACGATACGTCAGTCGACATAAGTTTTCAAGCACACGCTTTTGGTTATTTCAAATGTTGTGAGCCAGACCAGCCAGGCATAAAAACCGAGAAGTCCAGTCGGGGGCACTGACTCAACGAAAAACTACAAACCCCAGAAGCAGATGATATGAAGGAAACAGTTTTAAACAATTCCCGGCTACTAAGTTAAGAATTATTGCTATTAGCTCAAAGCTGGGATTTAGCTTTCCTTCTACCAGGTTAACGCTTTTAGTTTCTGTGTATCCCAGACGGGCATTCGGAGGCTTGAACTTCACAAGCCAGCTTGCTCCAGTTTGTGTGCCTTTAAGGGTAGTACATGTCCTGCAAATATCCATTCAGAAAATCCTATGATCATTTAATTCCTAAAAGCATTAGATATATAAGACGTTGAAATGTCTTTAGCAAATTTATTTTTAATAAAAAAAAAGGAAAGATTAAATTGGTTTTGGTTTTATGTCTATTTTATTTTTATTTATGAGACACATTACCGACTCAGTGGCATCCAAAGTTTATGAGGAGTTACTTGTGATGGCCGTAGAAGAATGCACTAGCAGATACATATACGAAATCTGGAACACCAGACGATTAGTTTCTTAGTTCGAAACGGTTATCTATTATTGTCCATGGCCCAAATTACGATATCGCTCTCTGTTAACGTAGCCATTTAGGCAGAAACCCGGCTTCGTCAAATGACAATTCATCATATAAGTGCTTAGCCCCATGACTGATTTCTTGCCGTAGAGTTCCCCTATAAATGCAATACGTTTCACCGCCGTGAACCGCTCCATTGTGGAAACAAATCAAAGTTTTCGAACGTTCAGCGAATCGATTTCGATGGTTGGGCTAATTTTCGCCGAAGCCACTATCCGTAAAATCTAAATTCCTCTCTAGAGATCTGTTAGGAATCGGTCCAGAGCTTTATTTGGCAATACAAGAGAGTGATAGGGGAAAGTGACTAGCGTCACTGAATCGTCAGCCTGGGAGTCGCCATGCTTAGCTTCTCCTCCTTCCCAGACGATTTAGCTCCCTGAACGAGGACCTGCCTCCCACACGCGTTCTATGAACTTAACCACAAACTATCGTTTGTCCGGTCCCTAATGTTGCTTAACGCAACCCTATGGGTCCTTTTTTTCCTTTCAAGGTCTTTCTCTCAAAAACCTCTTCTCCCACTCGCGCGGCCAAACACCAACTACTTCATTACATCCTTTAGAGACGATCTCATTTCTCCTGCCTGTGTCGCTCACTGATGCGAATAATAAGTACACTGTTGATGTATGGTGAACTGAATTTTTCGATCCCGCTGGGCGCAAAACACTTCGCAAAACTTTCCGAAAGGTTCTTACCAAGCCTGTTCAGGTAGCACTTGAAGGCGCCGTGAGGTAGTAAATAAGCCTTTTATCGAGGCCCACTATCCAGTTCTCAGTCTCTGGAGTGATGTCTCTTACTGTGCTTGCTTGGTAATTTGTTCCATTTTCTGTGCCACGTTTCCAGGATTTTGCCTATTGCACCTTCCGACAGGTCAACTCGGAGTATACGCCTCCTTATGACCTTCAGGTTTTAGGCAGCGATATCGGCAAAAACCAGCAGTGTTACTCTTCAAATGACCGAGGGCCGGCATCCATTTAACACTTGAAAATAATTTCTGGATCGTGACACCTAAAAGTTTAAACATTCTCTAGATCGGGCCGTCGAGAAGCGCGATACATTCCGCTATTATCATAAAAAACAGCCTCTTTGTTTAGGCTCAGGGACGTTTGTAGTACTCTGATGATTACCGTGAATACTTTGATCGCCTTTGCGAATACAGTATACTCTGTAAATTTTCTAAACGAGTTCTCTACGTACACATTTTGCAGTTGTTCCTAGATCTATCCTTTCGTCATCTAATATTAGTTTGGAAAGCTTAGATACGCATCTATCTTGAAAGCAAACCCTTAGACTCGTCCTTCTTCGTTTTCGAAATGGGATCTTGCTCTGTCCTGTTTCTTCCATTTTCCTTTAGGGTCAACGGTATCGACTAACGTCCTCATGAATCCATAACACGAAAGGGAATCGAAGTTGATACTAGCTATTGAAATAATAATAATGCTAGAACTAGTTAGAGGCACACCGGCTTTTTTTAGAAGCCTAAATTTAGGATAACCATTATTTATGTCTACTAAGCGAAACTGACTATATTTGCCGTATCATCTGTCCTGTGATCCTTTGGAACAAAGTCTTTAACCGATTTCTAATTAATATAGGTAAGGTGTAAATCTTTCTCTACGTTTGGCTGGCTAATCCCGCCTTATTGGGTGCCTTGCCCACCTCTAGCTGCAGCGGAAGAGATGTGACAAGGCACAGCTAGTATTGCGCAAACGCCGGCATATTATCACGTTTCTGGTAGCAGCGAAAACCGATGTTCTTGCTGGTACGATCGCATTTCTTCGCCCCTGGGCGGAAGCAGTTTAGGAAACAGGACTTAGACCGAGAGGCTGCCAACACTCTCAGTAAGACCAGAGACGACCAACAGGTTTGATGGATTGTAGGAGAAACCATGTGCGAGTAAAGAACGCCAGCTATCTGGAGCTTTTTATTGTTGTTTAGTGATACTTCGTAGGGAAGACAGGCATGACGTTGATGGCAGGCCGTCGGATTCTTTTGACCCTCGAAAAACTGCATGTCTCGTCGGGAGCCGTCTACAGCATTTTACTCATGCAGGTTTTGTGCGGCTGGCAGAGGAGATGTCGAATGGACTGGATATGATGGAAATCGAAGAGTGCGCGCAGCTATGCACACTTTCTATACGGCATAACTCGATGCTTTTATTTGCGATTAGTTCCGGGAAGGGGGGATCATCAGTCATCTTTACCCAATTGATTTCGATGCATTTACATGGCTTTGCCATAAGCTGGCATGCTCGTAAAATGTTGCAAATAGAAGCTGGCTATCAAGGAGGGGCGGAATACCCAAAAGCAGAGAGAAAAACATTTTCTGCACCCTGTGCGCTGTTTATTAATTACGTAGCAGTAAGACTTCAATAAACTACTATATATATATATATATATATATATATATATATGTATATATATTGCGCAGTTATTAAATATATGCAATTTACGTTGACGGCATATTTAAAAGTTTACTTTGAAGTTCTTTTTTAACTCAGCAGTACTTATATTTCGCCTGCGCCCCCTCTTGTCGTCAGTGCATCACAACGAATGTTTGCTTATTCTGTTTAGTATGGGTTAAGGAGCTATAGTCGCTTGCGATACGAGTGTAGAAAGCAAAGTTTGCTTTTGATTAAGCATCTCAAGATTCCTTTTACAACTTCTCTAGATACAAAATAAATTGAAACGCCTCACAAAGTGAAAATAAGAGTAAAAATACTAAGACTTTTGATTTCAAACTCAATGGTTAGCTATGGTTTGAACCAGTCTGTTATGGATCCGCTTGCGGATTCGCCCTTGGTAGTACTATGCTAACAACATTTCGAAGTATAATATAATCGAAAGCTTCGATGTGTCCGTGTGTTTCACTGCTCGGCCAGGAGTACTCCATGGATTGCTATTTCCGTCAGGCGTGGAACGACAATCGGCTACGCTTCTCTGGGCCCATTTCGCCTATTTCGTTACATATTAAAACACTCGAAAGGATCTGGAAGCCTGATACATACTTTCACAATGGACGAGGCTCCTATCTACACACAATCACCCAGCCTAACAAACTATTGAGGTAGCATTTTATATATATGCATTGTTAATGGTTTTTCACTATAAGGCTGCACGAGCCAAAGAGACAAGGTTCCTTTTGTTGCAGCGTTATTTAAGAATTTTAATTAAAAACAATAGCGTGTTGTTTAGTAATTGATTTTGAATTTTTCAACAGGTTATCTATGGACGGAGCTGTTTTATATTCAATGCGATTAACCATAAAAGCCAAGTGTCCAATGGAATTGCAGAGCTTTCCTATGGACCGACAGTCGTGCCCGTTGATCTTCGGAAGCTGTGAGTTGTCTTAGAACACTTCGAATCAGTACATAAATGGCAACCAATAGCAGTAATAAAGGCTGAAGACACTGTTCAGTTATAAATAACTTATGTATGTTATTTGCAATGAAACTAATCATTTGCGCAGATGCTTATACGAAAGAAGAGATGTTGTATACGTGGAAGACGAACGCGGCCGATCCTTCGTACCGAGCTGTAGGTCTCGTCGAAGGCCTCCAGCTGTCCCAGTTCGACCTCATTAATAATCCATACGTCAGCGAGACCGTGGTCATACGCAATGGTGAGCTTTAACGGTTTCAAATTGAAATATGGCAAACAGAAACGAATTTAGTCACCCTTTAATAAACGTATAGTCACTTGAAGTTACTGGCCATGGCGCTGTGGTCCTAACTACTTAGGTAGTGAGTATCCGCGATTGGCATCGAGTAATGAAAGACTACCGAGTTACTCACGTACTACTTTCTGTCTCAAGGCCGTCGCTACTCGAAGCCGCAGAGGGAAAAGAAGGTGTCTCAACACCGCAAAGGTCGCTTAGTTGACAATAATCACTTCGCAACTCGACAACTCTTTGTCTTGTATGGGTTCTTCGAATTTTTAGGTTAGCTTATAAAACTCCAGTACGAATATCAACAAGGGTATTTCCCCGCTAAATGTGCTAAACTTTTCAGCAGGGCATCCAGCGCGCCACGTTTATACCATCTGGCTTCATTCGGTTTTTCTTTGGCCACTCTAACTGAATAGGTAAATAGTGACCCGCAAAAGGGATGATCTGATTCGAAGTAAATTAATTGAATATTCCGTAGGCTAAGTAGAAACTCTCTTTTTTTTGCGCAAAGTTTAAACAAGTGACGAAGATGAGCTCAAAATATAGCTCGATACGTTGGTGTTTTCGGTGTAAGAACATTGTTGCTCTAGTTCAATAAATAGGGAATTTTGAATTTGCTTTGTGTGAACGGCTAGGCAGATAGGTTATCCCGGCAAATTTCCATTGGAAGAATTAAATACGCCAAAACAAGGGACAGTAAACCTGTCCTCTCTGTCATCAAAAGCTTGCAATGGGAAGACACGAAAAAAATGCATCCATCACCACGATCTTTCTCAGTCAACCAGTAACAGGGTTTTGTTTTGATATGTTTGGGTTGGAAATATAGGTTTTGCATTTGTTACTTTCTATGGTACTTCACTAAAGCGTGAATAAGGAACATTGATCTATTTGCACGCACTGCTTGACAAAACAATGGACAGCCCGGCCCTCGATCGAGTGTTTGTCCAGGAAACGACGATAAAATAGCATTGTCTTTCGTCAAGGATAGAGAAAAATTGTTGCCTAAATGTGCTTGCGATACAAAACGAGCGTAAAAGTGATTTAGTGAATTATCTCAAAACACCGATTACCCTAATATCGATTCAGAAGATTGTTTGAAAGCTATAGGAAAACTCACTACTGATTCTTTCCTGTGGCCAAGCCGTTTCGAAGTGTGCGCGAATCGTACCTGTTTAAAACGATAGGATCTTTTTCAAGTTCGTTGCCTATAGTTAATACATATGGCTTGACTTAGCCATGAACTATCCTAACGTTGACTCGAAGAGCTAACAATATGGCTATGCGCATGATATAGCCGTTGTAGCAGGAAGTGCGCAATAGAAATGAACAGGACATTACAGCATACAGAACGTTAAACGACTTTGCTTAACATAGATCCTTACTTATCTCTGATAGCTGAGGAGTTCCCCTTTGCTGTCTCCAAGCATGAGCCGAAGTAAAAGGGTTTTCAGAAATTTGCAAGACGCCGCTTTCCAATGATGGCCAGCCGCCTTTCGATAGGTGAGGGGCGGCCCTCGCCTGCACACAGGTGCTTCGGGGCGATTATTTGGTATCAGTCGCCATATTCTTCTTCCTCCCTTTGCAGGGAACCAACAGTCAAATCTGGCTATCAGGGAACAAGGAAATCGATCCAATCAGTAACGCAGTTTTTGACATAATTTCCGGCCTGAAACTAAACTTTAGAAATTATTTCTCGATGATAACGCCACAAGTTACACATAATTTTTGTTTCCATCAGACGTTCCCAAGTCGGTTTTCCGTACGGATGTGCAGTCTGAAATATGGACGGGTTCTGAACAAATTTCAGGTTGAGAGTGTAATAAGAATTAGTACTAGTTTTTCTAAAAAATTTATATTTGAGTATCTAAATCAAGGCGAAAGCTAAAATAAGGTTAAAAGTGGTGTCACTTTAGCTATTCCAAAACAGAGTCATCTGCGAATATAATTCGACAATGTAAGCATTAACCATGACGTTCTTTCGTAGCTATACAAATATCACATAATTTTTTTTTCAAAACGATCCTTGAAATATATAACGTTTATTTAGTTAATTATCTAAAAAGACTTAATGCGCATAACTTGGCTGTATCTAACTTCTGACCGCTGAGATAACTTGTTTGCCGGGATTAAAGGGATGGTGATTTAGCTATACATGACGGTAAATGTCTCAATAGCACGGTAAAATGCAGCGTCATTCTAGGCACGCCTGAGAAGCTAGCGGGCGGTGGCATTCAACGCTTGTAAGCCATGACAGGAACCATGTTGGGAAAAGAAGAGTGTTGGTATTCTGTTTGGTATCAACTCTGTTGAGTCACCCCCTTTGAGGGTCATCATAATGTTACGAATATTCGGCCGGATATGGCTACCTCGATAGAGGCTGGCGGAAGGCCTTCCGGCGATAACAGCGTTACCTGGGAAGTCGCATAGAACAACGTTACAGTTTTCGCAGCCGGATGGCTTAAAGGGTCGAAAAGCTTAGTTAACAGTTAAAGTTGAGAAAAAGACACCTCTTCATTAAATACAGTCTATATGTGAATGAAACGTATGTAGCAGCATATGGTCTATATAGCAACTAATTTTTCGAAACTTTATAATTAATATGCCATTATAGTTAAGCCGATACTAATATTTGCTGCTAGAAAACCTATCGCATTAAACGTGTTTCACATCGCTGACTGGTAAACAGTACAAAATAAACATCCACAGTAGCCAATACTCTAATTTATTATATTAGAAATTATGCGGTGACTAGTTTATTGCTTCGACAGACCTGAACTCTCGGGAAAAAGTAACGCTTAGTACAATTATAGGACTCAGCGCATGGTCCAAAGCGGATTTCGAAAACTGTCTGAGGCAGAATAATGAAACTAAAGAGCTCGTTGGTTGCCCTCAATTAAAAGTTCGAGATTATGATTTAAGCATCAACAAATTCTCGAATAACAATCCTAAATTCGGTTCAATGCAACGTTAATTCTACAGTTTTACTTCAACTTCAGATATGTCGTACTCGGGACGATGGCTTCGGTGGATGATAACTCTCTACCTGAGTTTAGATTCTGGTTTAAGACAACTGCTATGCAGTGGAGGTTTTGTCTGCACATTTTTTTAGTCATGGCATAGAGTGGCCTAAAGTCTAAACACGCCTTAACCGGGCTGATTTTCTAGATAGTTACAAATGGATTAAGTTTGTCAGTATAATTCAAAATATAATTAAACTGGATTCCAAAAATCTAGCTCTACGTAGCTTCTTAGATTATAGCATTTTGGTAACAGTCTGAAGCAAAGAGACGTTGAGTGAATCGCATGGTATCAATCGCGTCCTAAAAATCTGCCTGGGATATATAAACATAAATGCAACTAACAAAAGTAATACGTAATCTTAATTACTACACATACAATTTCACCACGTATTATATATCACAAAACATATTATCCCTGACACAGCGACCTCTGCTGGGTACCAGGTCCCACAAAAGTGTGGACACGTTGCATATGGAACCGTTTGTGACAAGCATGTCTTGAGGCTACGAAATCAACGAAGCGTTGCAGCTCCACAAGCCCTTCAGACGTGTTTTCTAATAAAGGCCTAGCCACAAAACTAAGCTTACGCTCGCTTTGAGGAACACAGCGAGGGCCCTTGGAGTGTGGCTAGCTCGTGCCTGATGCGTGTACAGATACGTAAGCTTTGATCCAAAACGTGCAATTATCGCAGAGTGGAACAAAGGCTGATGCAGGGCTACACAGCTATATACCCCTTATGTCTTGTCCTTTCCATAGCTTGAGGGATTGAGGCGCCGACACAGTGGACTCGCTCCCACTTCACGAATAGGTGAAAAAGTACTTAGGGAACACTTACTAAATAGGTCCTTAAGCACAGCAGTCATAGTCCATACATACACTTCTAAACAAGCACTTTACCATGCTAGCTTACCTGTGCGGTCGCGAATTATTATGGAAAATTTCAAGCGTCAAGTGACCATTTGAAGAGAGGAGCATAAACGAACGTAAGCGTCATCGACTACTCGATCTTGAAGGCAGTACGGCACACCTTGACGTCACTTATGTTCTATAGAAATGACAAACATCTTTATATGTGTAAGACTGACACAGATCTAATTCTACGTAGCAAACGTATACTGTTCAGCCAATAAATTTTGTTTTAATCTAATTAACTTATAAAAAAAATATCCGATACAGATTACTAAGAAAAAGAACGTTGTTTGCCACGTCTTGAAATGTACATTGCCGTTATACCTTGTATATTTCAATTCTAAGACATTTGGAAAAATTAACATATGGTTATAGTAATTGTAAATATTTCGCTTTTTTTTTTTTTTTTTTTTCGAGTGTCATCGATCACACCATATAGCAACACCCAAACAGCTACATCAGTTGAAACGTTTCTATCTAAATTGCCCCTAGTTAGGTGTGGCATAATAATAATGGCGTAATAAAATAGGTTCGTTTTGTTGTTATGAAAGTTACTTATTCCCTGTTCAGTCTCACTGACGAAAAATGCATTCACCTTATTTCGCTCCCCTGGGCCAAATGAAGCGGCGATTGTCAGATGAGAGCAACGATGTGTTTGACTTTTTTATTTTGTCCTGGAGGAGCTCTATTGAATTTATGACGCTTGCTTCAACATCGCGCTGAATCAACGCTTTAAAACATAGTTTCAGGCGAGTCTCTCTTTCGACAAGTCAACTCCCTAACCCCCTTCGTCGAAACTGAAAATCCGAGATTTAGTCACGGTCATATATAATATACTAAGATTTTGGCTTAATTTAGACACGCGAATTAAGCGTATTGGATATACCAAATAATTTCAGAGCCCAGTTAGATAATTTTAGACAATTAGAAAGTATAGGTTTATCGCACTTTGACATCACGAACTTCTAAAAACTCAGATAATAACTTTCTCTTGCAATAGTCCAATGCGCAGTATGTTTCACATAACATGCAACATAAACATCTCGGATTCAATTATGATAAGATTATATGCTTATTACAGTATGTTATATAATAACAGATTATATTGTTGTATATATATATATACGACGTTTAATTTGCTCCAACAGAGTACTTTACGTATAAACGATAATTACATATTCCCTGCGATGTGGAAATATGGTACTTTCCATATGGAATATCCCACTTTGGTGTACATTTCTAAGACAAGTCTGTTAAGCCTTTATTCGAAGATCAGCATTGCGAGGCTTCAACTGGAGAGAGCAACGTAAATGTCTATCCTTTCGCGGGCCGTTGTGTTATATATATACACATATACTATACCTACCATATGTTTATACGGGACAGCGGTCAGTTCATATCTGTTGACAGCGGTTTCTATATACGATTCACGTACGAAATGGAATCGCGGCTTGCATTTTTTCTTTAGTCCGTCTATTTATTGCTCTTTTCTTATACGGGGATTAGGCAAACCTGCCTGAAACACATTTTATTATATTATAAAATGACAATAGACAGGTTTTCAAACTATGTACAAAACACAAAGCTAATATTAGAGCAGCATTAAGGATCAGATACATGTTGAGTGATAATAGACATTTTGTATTGCAGAACGTTGCCAGAGATTGCATACTGGGGATCGTCGGTTTGAGCCCTGCTAACGAGCTGTACCACTCGATAGGTGTGGCACATGTCGTAAACGAAGTCTAAATAAAAAAAAAAAAAAAAAAAAGAAACGTGATGTCAAAAAAATAGGAAGGACAGAAAAAAAGACTGAGTTACACTTAGTTCCTAGATGCCGGGTAGAAGTTCGAGTGAATAGAATAAACCATGACACGCAGGATGCATGTGTCAAGAGTAATCTGGCTTAGTTTCAGTCAGTTCATAAAAGAAAAATATTCACGAATATAAGTGTTTCACGAAGCTGACGGATCATTGATCTGACAAGTGTGGACAAAGACAAGAAAATGACCTAGCGCGTCATATCTCACGCTACAGAGGTAAGCACGCATCAAGTGCCCTCGAGACTCCTCTGGACTATCGATACGTGTAGTCTGAAATGTAACTGTATTCAGTTAATAAATGCAGAGTTGAAGGAGCGCTAAAGTGGGCGTAGGATTATTTCGTGTAGGCTGCATTGAGATATGTTTCAACGGGATGGGTTTAGTGGTTTGCTATCGTTTTCTAAGAGTCTCCTCTTAGATACTTATTCGTGGTCAATCAAATTTTAAGTTTCAGCGTTAATATATTCTGCTCACACTATCGTTTGCGTGTTCTCGAGCCTACGCAGACGTCAACGTATGCCTAAATACGGATGCAGAGTGAAGCTTTGGAGTCGGCTGAGGAGACCCTGAAAAGTCGTGTAGCGTATACGTGCAATGCATTTTCTTGTTTATCAAGGCTACAACAATGTGTTATGTTTAAGCACGTTTATGGATAATTATACATGATCGTTCATTTCGAGGTAACTCAGCATCGTCCGGAAATAGTTTCGTCTCACACTTATACGTGTCGAGTGCTTTTTATTAATTACAATATGTTTGTTCATTGCAATGCGGTACTTGAACGGCTTCAGGGCTCCTTCTACGAGTTCTTCAAAAAAAAAAAAGATTGCCTCTGAAAGTCAGAACGTGCTCACGTAGCTACAACCAGAGTAATGGCAAGAGGTGGTTGATAAAAGGGCCAAAGCTAGCAAATGCTCCCGATAGCACGAACGGGGCCTTTGCAGCCGCTAATAAAAGTAGATGGCTATAGCCAGACTTTTTTTTTTTTTTTTTTTTTTATAAGAATGTGAATCTCTCAGCGTCCAAATCCTGACAGTAAACAATAAAGTCTGAAGCAAACTAACGATTCTATCGATTATATTACGCATGCAATGACGTTTAACATAATTCGACGATGGACCGAATTCAAGTTAAACCAATTAAAAAAATCACGCCCATCCTATCATACAGTAAAAAAATCTCAATGGTCATCTCTGATTTCCATCTCTCTAGCCGTGGATTTAAAAACAGAAAGTTCAATAGTATCCAAATATCCATCTTCATTTAGTCAATGGCACGTAGTGTATAAACTAAAAGTAGATCTTGATTGCGAGGTTTTGCTTGTATTTATTTGTACGAACAGGTAGCTCTGTATCGACTTTGTGTATTTAACAAATGTCAATATGCAAGCTTTTCAGAAGAAGAATATATGTATTTTTTGGGTCGCCATTGTGCGTGTTGATAGTCTTTCTAGTATATTACATAAATCTCAAATGATACAGTATCGTCAAGGAACTAAGTATACGCCACTGACTAGTTGGGCTTATTTGAGAGAGGCTGACTACAAGGAAGCTATATAGAATCGATAAGAAAGCACCTACTTACCTACCTACCTACCTACTCGATGAGGTTTCTATCCATGAAACTTTATAGGAGCGAAACGAAACCCAGCTACATCTAAAGCAGTTGATTTTGGGGTGATGAAAAGTAGGTCGCGCGCGACAGCAATGCACAAACAGAAAAACTCCTTTTCGCAACAAGCACGTTGATGCTATACGTTTGGTAGGATTGGAAAGGAATTGTGCATCGCAAGCTGCTGTCTTCTCGTAGAACAATTCATTCGGATCTGTACTATCGACAACTAGGTAAATTTCAACAATCTATTGAAAAAAGACCCGACCCGACCCTACCAGAACTAGTGAGCAAAAACATTGCGTCTCGGACAGTGTCCAACCACATACATGCTTAGCTATCCTATAAAACTGAGAAAACTTGGAAGGGGGGTTTTAGTGCATCCTGTCTAATCCGGATCTTGCACCGGCACACTGTCATCTAGTTCGGCCTCTGCAGAACTTCCTTGACGGTATTAATTTAGCTTCAATTAAGGGCTTCATAACCTTGTGGTTGCGCCGAGAAACTGCGAAAGTCCTGCAACGACGGGAAATAAAGGTGGCAGAAGATCACTGATCAAAATAGCACGTAGCACCACTACTTTAAAACAGTAAAAAATAATAACTGCTTCAGTTACGGCTTAAAAACGGTTAGTATTTGTTCAACAGGTGTATATATACACCTTTTGCACCTTTTGCAGAGGTAAGTTAATGTAAGATATTTGTCCATTGTAAAATGATGGAAAATTTAATGTGTTGGAATTCTACTCATTCATAGACTGCACGTAAAATTAATTGATTGATTCAAGAGACGGTAAGCAGAAAGCCCAAATCGACCTCTACATAGCCGGTTTGCATGCTTCATTTAAACGTCTCTTGATACTAGTAACAAAGTGAATATTACCTTGATTTTATTAGACATCTTAAAAGAATGAATTATTTGGTATTATGTCTTAACTAGGTAATCAGCGACTTGACTGAAAGCAAATAGTTAGCAAACGTAAACGTTTTTTCAGAAACGTTGAGTTGGCACACCCGTTTCGGGTTCGTTGTTTTTCTATATTTTCATTAAAAACATTTTGTTGGCAACGTCTAAGCGTGTCTTGCAAGCTCTATGAATAATGTTGAAGGAACGCGCGTGAATCGGCGCCGAAAAAATGGCGATTTAAAACGACGAGGAATTTTCTATGCACAATACCTTTATATCACGAAGCCGCCGTCTCAGCTCGATCTTCGTTGCGTTGAAGAAGTTCAGTGCGTCTGGAATGAAAAATTCTGTAAAGATCTGTAGGTGACAAGGATAAGACGTCAAACTAGTCCGGTGGAGAAAACGCATCTGGCTATGTTTACTTTATAATTTTGTTCGTTGTTATTATTTTTGGATAATTAAACAAAAATGGGCATGTAAATATTGTCTTTGTTCAAACTTAAAAGGCATGGGACGCAAAGCATCGTAATCACGAAAAACGCTTGGCCTATACATGAGGTGATCCGAAGAACACAAATAATTAAATACTGAATATCTGAAAACAGCGGCGTCATGTATCATGGCTAGTAATGCTCGGGTGCTAGAGGCGGCGCTCCAAATTTTACTTTATTTTCGAATCCATGATGAAGTATTGCAGTGCTAATACGCGAGACATTAGTGTAAGCTCGCAACAGGTTTTATGATAGAAGTCAAATTAAACCTTATTTCTAACTAATTCTTTTCATCGTTTTCCTTATTCTAGGCACTTACTCAGTTTTACGGGTCAACTTTAATCTTCATCGCCATATGGGCTATTTTTTGATCCAGGTGTATGTTCCGTGTGGCCTCCTCGTCATACTGTCCTGGGTCTCCTTCTGGATTAATCGGGAAGCCACCGCTGACCGTGTCGGACTTGGTAAGAAACCACCGGCCCAATTGCCGGTTAACAACGCAAGTTCATGCCCTGCACTTAGTTACAGCCCTCCTTACCGAAACTATAATTAGGTACATGGACTCACAATTCATTTATCCACTATGCTTGTTAGGTTCATCGCGTCGAATCTGGACTAACTAAAGGTCATCATTAGCCATTCATATTATGAGTAAGACACTGCCTATAGCAAACATCATAAAGGCCTATGTGCCTTTGCATGCACAAGAAAAGCACCTCTATACGACATATTAATGCAATAATTTGATTTAGATAGACCGTAATTTTCCTTTGTCTGGTTCTGGTATCTCTATTCGTACGCGTATAGGTGCAGAATTCGGACACGACTCATTTTTCTGTCTCTTTCAACTTTTTGATCGTTCAGATGTTTGGCAAGAGGACGCCTTTTTCCAAATGTAGCCCTTTGATGATCCTCGTCCTTTTTGTTGAATGGACAGCCATATTTCCTCTCGCCCTTCGGATAAGGCTTACTTGCAGCGTGTTCCCTTCAGCAGATGCATGTTGCTATTTTTTCGATAGCAGTCAGCGACGGTGTGACTTCTTGTTGCCCTTCAAAACAGAAAGAACGTCGTCCAGCCGTCAAAGGCTTTTCTGTCGAGAAGTTAGGCGAGAGGAGAGGATGAACCAATGTTTGTATGTGTTCATGAGTGTTTGTGTGTTAGCTTAGGAAAGTGGGACTTTTCAATCGTACCCCTCAACTTCCTCGACTTTTTTGTCGTTTTTCGAAAATTGCAATTTTACCTACGAGTACATTGTGGGGCCACGTACATAGAGTCCCAGTTACCGCCCGCCACCACTCTCAATCCCATCATCGCTATCACCATCTTCACAGGTCGTAGAAGGCCGGTCGCGACCGCTGCTCCACTCCATCTACGGGTCGCGACTGTCTGTGCTGATTCCCTTTCCTTCAAAGAAATGAATGGATCCCCCCCCCTTCCCCCGCTCTTCTCCATCTGGATGAGGTGCCTCCTCGCGCTTGCGTACCGCCGGGCAAAGCCGGCGTAGAAATGACTTTGGATCCCGCCGCCGCTGTAGCGGCTTAAGCTGCAATGCTATCGCCGCTATCCAAAGCGGCTCAGACCGGATGGGAACTTATTTGACAGGATATACCAGAGCCATATGACAAAAAAACAGCAAAAAGACAGACTTTACCGGGGTGCTTGTCGCCACTGGCATGATTGTCGCTATTGTTAAAAATTGCAGACGGAGATTGAATGAACTTACTGGCTTGCAGTACCAAAATACGTGTTAGCACAAGGCGATATTTGCTAGTGAAGGGCACTGTCGCATTTTAATTGTGCGCAAAGAAGACCAAACGAAACGTCACTACTCGTCCCGGCCTGGTCTGGGGTTAAAGCAAGATTTACTTGGGAATGTGTTCGTTTTGGCAATGTGGCTATGTTTTGCTACGCAAGTGTGATGCATTACTAAAGAGAGTTTGTAGATACCTTGAAAACGGGCCTTTGTATACTTTAAGTTTTCATCTCTATACGAGTAGATATCGATGAATAAAGATCTTAGAACGATCACTGATTAATTGGCACATGTCATTGATACGCTGTGAGTATTTTGCTCACACGGATGTGCGTGTGAAGATTCAGAATAAGGCAAAACGATCAGACGTTAGAGACTACTGTTGAGGTACTGAATCAGAGCGTATAGCTATAGTAAAATGTTTTTCCTTCCAAACCTGGCATGGTCTTTCCTCTGTCGATAACTATGAAAAAAACATCGTAAGATAGGGGGCACTTATGTGGGTGCATCTAAATTTAAACAAAATAAGCTAAGCTATTGTTTTGATAGACATTTTGAAAATGAGTTGAGATAACAGATTAGTTAATAATACCATAGTACGTACAGTGGTGTGCCAGAAGCGTGTGTAAATATTCTAGTTTTTATTCGAATATTAAAGGAATGACCACGGTGCTGACACTTTCGACGTTCGGCCTGGACACACGCACTGACCTTCCAAAGGTACCCTACCCAACAGCGTTGGACTGGTTTGTTATTATGTGCTTCACCTACGTTATCTGCTCTCTCCTAGAATTTGCTGGAGTCCACTACTTCACCAAGGTAGCGTAAAATAGAGCCAAGTTATTTACTACATATGACGAAGTGCGAAGCGTAATTTACGCGCTTACGTGTTCGACACTGACGTGAACAATTTCCATTTGTTTCATATCATTTATAATTTCTACGCTTTTATAACTAGTGTGCGAAATAATATGATGATTCTCGGGCGTCCTTCTCAACGTAAAAGCAGCATGCTGAATATTCACACAACATCTGTACGAACGCGGCGCTACGGGAGCATTTTTTGTTACCTCGTCTTAATTTTTACAACATTTCTATAGTAGCTCACGTTTCTTAAAGGAATGGCTGTCGTCATAAATGACATGTACTACCTTTTAAGTCACTATTTTTTTTTTTTTATTGTGAAAAACACCCGATAGATTTATAATACGGACATAGATGCAAGAAGTTTTTCCTTGAATAACTTGAATAGTAATAACTGTTGTGAATTATTCCCATGCCTAGTTTTACGTGGTATTTAGATTAGGCTTCACAATATGCAGAGCGCTCCTGGAAATTGTGCATCAGGATATGTTGCCACGACGAATAGAATAACGGCGTGATATTTTATTAAATCGAAAATAAATATAGGTTAAGCTTACATGGTTTGCTACTAAGTACAGTGTGGAAAACAACTGTTTAATACGAGATAATTTGGCAGTGCCTATGACGTTCTAATCACGTGTGGTCCGAGGGAAGTTATTGTCGTCGATATGTGCTTAGTACTGTGTCTAAGTTATCATCCCTTCGTCACGTCGTAACCCTACTCAAGCGTAGGAAGAAGTTCACGCTCCCCTATTGGGTGTATAGGAGCAAACTTTTTTGTCCGAAGCCTTGAGGCGATCAGTATCGACAGACCCATTTCTCTCACTATTAGGGCACAGCAAGAGACCTAGGGCAAATGTGGGAAGAACCGCATCGTTGAAGAATAATGTGCCTTTCAACACCTAGAAAGAGCTCCGTATGAAATTTGAGTGTGCTGTATTACTAGCCCCTACTTTATTTAACACCACTACCAGAGAAGTTAGGTTATATCACCTACAAAGATGTTGCCACAGATACCGAGATTCGACAAAAGCTTGTTATAATAATAATAATGACACGCGTATGAGCCAGTTCCCTCATTGCATCAATCATCATAGCCGAAGTATTTTATCAATCATACTGATTTCCGCATTGTGCGTCTTTGTAGCTCCACTTGTCGCACGCGTTTAGACCTAGCTAAGACGGAGAGCTTCAAACATAAATAGCCTTGTTATTATGCGCTGTTCGCCACACAGAACCCGCATGGTCTATTCTAATTACGTTAGTCTGTTTCTTATGATGGCACGTCCCGCCGATGACAGTCGTGGTAAGTCGCTAGCAATAACAATAATGTCGCATGTAATAATAACAAGCTGACCTTCTAGCGACAGTGTGTGCCATGAGCAACTCAGCTTGCTAAGGATAGGCTGGAAAGTTTATTGAAACTCCTGAGTCGACGAATATACGGTGCTTCAAACCTTTCCAGAATATTAACGCAACAGTATGTTCCAGCAAAGTTAAATTTTTTTTACACGAGACAGGATAACCCTTGGCCATATTGTATACGCTCGTTCACATTGTTTTTCCTCTTTAAAAAGGACTGTGCTTCAACGAGTAAAGGTAAAGAGTCAAACATTACACGTAATAGCCATATAACCTAACCCAAGATGTGCGAAATACTTCGTTCTAAAATGATGTAAAGACAATTCTAATGCCACTCCACAGGACGTTACTTTCCTGTCACTTTTGATTGAGCCTGAATTTGCAAAAACTACAGTTGTTTTCATCGACCTAAATTTGGCTGCTGGCTCTATTGTATGAGGACGCACTTCTATGATATATAAACATCATGCCAACCGAAAAGATTGATGTTTTACTACCGCGGTCGAATTAGAAATGCAGGTAGAGGCAGCTACCCGAGATTGGCATATACAGATCACATTTAGATGTTATGCCAACCGTTCCTTGCTGTGCAAAAGAACATCCATTCTCCTGGGGAGATTACAAGGTTGAGAGAAGACAAGTGGGCACGAGTTTATTGCCACGGCCAAGTTTGGCACGTAGTATATCTAGCAGAAGCTAGTGGAAATGATTCACAACTAGCGCGTTCAGTGTGTGTGGTGCTCTTGACTAGCATTGGAGGAAACCGCAAGGATGGAGACGACTACAAATTCCATTATGTCCTTTGTGTAGACCGCAATGTCTTTATCCTCGACGCATGGTGTCACACGGCCTGCCTTAGCTAGCCGTTATTCGCATAAAACGTTTTAACGCGGACAGCTAGCGCCTTCGAGTAATCAAAATGTATCGAATCCACCGGGTTTGGGGTACGAAGTAAGCGGATACCAGTGTACGCTTATATGCATATACATCTATTGGGTTGGCGAAAGGTTGACTAAAAAAAAGAACATTTTTATAACGAGCAGCTTTAAAGCCCGCTTCAAAGTTATCTATCTTAAGCATTTGCGCCATTTGACAGTCTTGAGTACTCGATGCGATAGAATTGTTCAAATGCCGTTATTTCGGCTTGAAATAGAGTTCCTTCGAAACATCGTTGTCATAGCATAACTATAGCAAAACATCACTATATCTTGTAGTTATATGCGATAAAGACATAAATACTATCCTGGATCATAAGAAACAGACCGCGAGGATGCGTTATCGAAAAAAAAAAAAGCGACCCAAAAGCGGTCCTGTCGCTTTCTTTGTGTATGTTCCGAGATGAAGGATGCTTCTCGTAATGGTCGCACAATTGCGAAGTGAAATTATTCTGAAAGCCAAACAACACTTCGTGGGTAGCAGTAATATTGTCAAGAAATTAAACATTAACCAGCAATGAGTTCAAGACCACTTGAAGGCTGACTGCGAAAAGGGCTTCAGCGCTTCACTCGATACATTAATTGAAACGAGAAGATCAACCCGATCGGATCTTCATTTGCGAAATTCTGCAAAAACGTAATAACTTTAAAATGACTGACCATGCGACAGTAATATGTACATAAAAAGATGTGCTCTACTAGATGTGGATACGCTTAAACCTATACCGAATAGGGCGATGCTAGGGATTTTGTGGAACTAGAAAGGAATCGTGCAAAACAGCTGATTCGAACCCTCTACCTTCAACAGCGAACCATATTGCATCACGCCGTTGACCTGAACTAGTGAACAGACCACCATAACGATACCAAATCTCGTAATAAGTTACCCGGAGAGAACTTAGGCGAGAATTATTATTGCATTCGCCTTGCACCATCATCTGGTTATTTGTTTCTTGAACTTTCTTAATGGTATCAATTCAAATTCGATAGAATACTGTAAAAATCACAATTTTTCACATAGAAAGTATTATAGTTCCCTAACGATATAAGTACGGTGTTATCAGAAAACTGGTAGACAAGCATCGATTAAAATGGCGCTCATTTAATTTATTAATGTTATTTCAAAATGTAAAAAAATAAATATTTGTTTCAATTAGAAAACGGTTAATAATATTTTGTCCTCTGAATATATATATATATCTATAGAAGAATATATTAGTAAGATAATTTATTTTTTGTTGGGCACAAATTGTACTGGGCGAAACAGGACTACATCCTTTGGAGGGGAATAATAGTACATTTTCGGCATTTTAAGGTGTATAGTTGTAGCAACACTATAATCTATTCTGATCGCTGAATCTTTTGCTAACAAAACCCTTTTTGGTGGGCGTATGCGAGATAGGCGAGGGTCCTAAGGCGCAAAGCGGTCGATTATTTTCAAACGATATACTATACGCTGCTATGGAAGATTGAGTTTCGCTGAGCAATGTGTATACTTACACAAACGTCCCCGTTTGTTTCTCTAGGCAAAGTTAAAAATGTGGCTTCTATTGTCCAGTATATTTTCCTCCCAAACAGGTTCTATAATTAGCATATACGCGGCGTGGCTGTACCGGCAATTCTCTCTTGCATAGTTCGAGATACAACTGGCACAGTCGAAAATAATTGATGATATAAGCATCTCATGCTAAGATTTTAATAATGGATATTTGTTTACTTGCGAAAAGCGTACGGACAAAGGAAGTAGTAAAACTTATTTGAACTTAAGGCACGTATTATAGACTCAAAAATATATCTGATAAACGGTACGTTAACAGAGATTATCCGTCTTTTGCCCATTACCGATTGGTGTTCGGCAAGGTGGGAAGTGGGGAGTACTTCCCGGGTGTTCATACCTATGATGAACGCGACCATATGATAAAAACGATTCAGGAGCTGGAGGATGAACTCGAAGATGAGGAGTATGAAGACGAGGAAGATGACACGCCCCCACTTGGTACAGTGATCCATGTGTTTATATAATATCTTCGAAGTAATAAAATAATAATTTTCGCTTAAAGCTAAAGAATGAGAGGCAGTATTTTTGGGTAATTACCTAGTAGGCGCTACCTAAGTGTTATGGCTGCCAATGTTCGGTCTTGACATCCCGACTTTGTTGTTCGACCCTGACTTAGAACGCTGTCAATATACGATCTATTCAAACCCATATTTTTCGGGACGAGAAGAACACCTGAATGACTGCGTAGAACCTAATCGAATTTCACGCTTAGGTTAATAGGTACTTAAAAGAAAAAAAAAAGTCATGAAAATGTTTCGTTATGTGATAACACATAAAGTAGCATATCGATCGAGAGACAAAGAAATAAATTATTCGTACCAGGGTTTCAGTTATTTTTTATTTACTCGGTGTTTTAATGACGAGATCAAGCGGCAATGATATGCTAAAAGTCGGCATCAATAGGGGTCATTGAAGAAACCAGATGCTATACCAAAGCCTTTATGAGAAAGCCTACAACATATCGATGAGTCCTTGTTGTTATCAGATATTTAGCTGATGATAACTATTGGTAAACGTAGCCAACGATCTCTACGTTCTATGTTTCAGATGAGTTTGCAAATTCGGACTACTTTCCTCAAGGAAGCTTCGTGCTCAGCAAGTTGAATTCGGGATGCCAAGTACGTGTAACACTGCAGCATCCGCTATTTCAAGCGAATGACTTACGCTAGGAGTTTCATCGGTAGAAAACCCAGAACTAATCACTACGAATGAATGCAGATTCACCAAGTAGCTCTCGCGCAGCAAATAGAACGATGATGACAAGCTAATAGAAAGGTCCCGACAGAGCAATATGCGCGTTACTAGAGCCAGCCTTGCTTTAGTAGCGTTTATTGTTAATTAAAAAAAATAAAAGTTAATTTAATACGTACATGTATTTCCACGTGCACCTGTTGTGCACGTGTCTATTTGTAGGCACGCATGTTTGCAACCTAACTGAACTTGTCGCAGGGACAGCGATTGAGAAGGCAAGAAACCGTGTAAGTGAACAGGGTCAACTATACGAAGCATGAAAAATGTTCGTTTCTCCCGACCCGATACAACCCATCATTCATTTCAGACCCAGGACGTACCTCGCTGCTAGTGTAGTTGCTAACCCTTTGTGTGGCTTACACACACACCCATCGGCCGAGGCCTCTCAACGCTAAAGTGCTCGTTTACTGGCGACGGTGGCGGACGCAGGGGCGGCGTTCTCTGTTTCTACTTTCGTTGGCTAGCGTGCGCAATCGTTCTGTTCGTGCACCTATCCTTTCTGTGTATAGCTCTCTTGTTAAACTCTATAGACCCAGTATCGGGACTGGGTCCTTACAGCGAAAGCCTAGCTCCTATATCGTCCCTGACTCAAGGGCGTCTAGCCTAGTGGCCAGAGAAGAAAATCGGAGAAAAAGGAAGGCGATTAAAAAGATAGTTCACTTTCCCGTTATCTACCGGATAGCCTTTTCTTACCTGGACAGAACGCTTCGTGGTAGTATTAGCCTCACTTTGTTTTGTTAGGTTTGCTCAGAGTGATAGTTTATCCCTTGCATCGTCATGTTCCGACAATACAAAACGGGACTCATTTGGATAGGGTAAGAGTCGATGTCCATTACGTCCACTAGATTGTCTATATTTAGATATCATTACGGGAACAGAGATATTTTTCAACTCAAAAGATCATTACCATGCTACCAAAGAGCTTAATACATAAAACAGGTAAAATATTACGCTGTTACGTATTGATGCGGCGGGTGCCGATTTGTGTACTTCATATTTCGAATCCAGCGGAATAATGTTAGAGCAGATTCGTTGCTTGTCTAAAAACCAGTGGTACGTTGAGATAAAAAAAATTATTAGAAAAAAAAAGCTGATTGGTGATGTGGTGGGTAGCAAAGGGCGTATGTGGAGCGACTTCAACCTCCTGAATAGATCTTGTCCTCCTGCATTTCAAGATTACTGTTCGTGCCGAAATCGTGTTTCTGTTCAAATCCGTTGATAAAATATTTGAAGATTTGATTTTGAGGACATTCTCCAGAACGAAGAATATTGATGACCATGATAGTAGCGGTCGCCTCTCGTTTAACCCTTTCACGATTCCCATCTGATCCACACCTGATGCTCGTTCCAAAACGTTTCCAGACACGAGGCTAATGGAAATGACTGGAAACCACCATTTCTCCCTTCCCTTAGTCTAATTTTTGCAGAACAACAGCAACAAGCATGAAGTGACTTCGAAGAAGCTGCTTCTGCCGCCCCCAATAACTTGAAACTGAATAATTTAGGCCTAACGTTACGACAGCCGTAGTGGACATTAAGGTCGAAAGGTGGGAGCAGGGCCGACGGGGTTGAATTGCCAGCTTCTTGCACCATACCATCTCTCGTTTATTCTCTTTGCTTTCATCGGAATCCCCGTTTCCCTCGATCTGCTCCGTTACGTCCATTCAAACGTCGACCTTACGTCACATTGCGCCAACTCGACCTATCTTATTGACTACTTGTCTTGCACTTGAAGGCATTGTCCTTCTGGACTGTCTCCACACCCCATCCTGCTTATCTGCCTCCGTCTTCCCTACCAGCACCTCCAGTGCGCTGATTTAATCCTTCCACTGCTTGCAGATGTTATCTATATCAACGACCTGTCCGTTCCTGACGCTACTATCGTCTCCTGCCGCTGCTGTGAAGGAATTGCGAGATAGGCGGCGAGAAAAGTTTTCCATCTCCTATTCATTTCGTTTTTGTTGAAATAACCCTCGGATACTGACACCTACACATTTGATTGCTGTCAGGTTTTCGTATCATAAGACGGACCTAGCTACAAAGCTATAAACTGGTCTCAGCTCTAAGCAATGTACCGATACGACCCCCCAAAATTGCCCCTAGTACCCACAAACGGACACTCCGAATGCAAGGATAGCTATCAGAGGTGCCACTCGTATCTACAAGTTTGTCACAAGTTACCTGCGCGCTAAGAGAGTTTTAATATTATAGTACAAAATGGTTACTAGAGGTTTTTCTTACTGAGTAGAGGAATGAACGGTTTTCTGTATGATCAACTGCAAACGGTAATTATAATTATTATATAATAACGCAAATGTAATTCCATATATAATCTGCCTAAATGTTGCCCAGATGCAGTGTCTTGATATAAAATCATACTCACTATAATTATTGATCGTGCCTTCAAGATTTAAAGCTTCTATTTTTCTCATCCTTGTCTCGAGTTCTTTAGGTTATCAATGACCAATTTTCGGTTACCTTATTTTTGTGTTGTACGTTAGATTTCCAAGCCTCATTTGAGGCTTGTCAACGTACTGACTACTGAAGTGTTCGTAGGTCTGTTTATATGTATGCAGAGATTCGTATACATGCAGGTCTTTACATTGATCCTTGGCATTGGCGGTTGGGCTTTATTGAAAAGTTGAATGCTTCGCGTCGTGCTTTCATCCTTTCCGCCGTTTGACAACATCAGCCTAACCTTTTAGATATGTGGGCACGGTTGGGAACATTGGAACTGTGAGAGCCCCGTCGAAGTGTTCTGCCTCTATGGGCAGAACACCTCAGCAGGGCGTTAGCGTATAGGGCTTCTTTTTGGAAACCAACTACGTCTAAGAGTAAACGAAAACTGGATAAACATACTAATATGTATAATATATAATTATCAACCCACTAATATATAATCTATCAACCTGCATACACTCGTAACCTTCCATACTAAAATTAGCTTAGGAGAGCTTTGGGGATCGAGGATTACCCTTAAAGATTATAAAAGAAGCAAGTATGTCGGCAATTAAAGCGTGATCTGCCAGTTCTAGTTATGTGATCATGCAATGAGCCTTTTATCGTTTATTTCATTATAGGATTGTGACATGATCCGAGCCCAGAGTGTGCTTGATAGTACAATTTGACAGCGCGCAGCATACGATGACATGCCGTTACGGGCCGGTTCGCCGTCAATGAGCAATCACGCCTCAGCTAGGGGTTGCGTCGCGAGCTCGTTGCCAACATTAATTCATCGCTGCGTACCGTACGTACCCGCACCGCCGCCGCCACAACGTCGCCGACTGCCCTGTCTACTCGAGTTCCTTATGTGCATGATCAACCACGAAAAATATCGTGACGCGCTCAGGCGTAGTGCCCCTAGAGGACAATTCGTCAATAGCGTTTCTCAAATTGACAAGGTACTATCTAATGATAGAAAAAAATCATCGGTCCAAATATCCAAAAGTTATCCTTACTTTCGAGCCAATCATTGTGTTTTATTTGAATTTTTAATGAAATTCTATGAACATTTCTATAGAAGAACCGTTCTCTAGATTGTTTTCCTACAAAAGCTTTACAACGGCCTTTTCTCTTGGTACACGTATTCAGTTTAACTCGTGCGTATTTTACACATATTTACAAACGAATTATACTGCGTTTTAATTGCAGAATGGCAAGGACGCTCCTTTGATATCTATGTTACTGTTTTCTCTATGTGATTCGCTATATGGATATATTTGGTTGCAAGTTAAAAGACATGTAAATAGGTAAAAGTTATTGTTCTGATAGTTACTCTTGCTCTATGCATACAAGTGATGTTCCTTGGAAAAGGTCCTTACATCAGGTGAATGGCAATACATAAAAGTGCAAAATCATTCGTTCATGCCAGACTACCCCCGTATATTAACGAACTGGCGATGTTGATTAGTTAGGCTCAACAAGAGCATTAAAGAATACTATCGTCCATGGTACTACATCATATATAAAGCGGGAAACATTTTTCGGACATCGAAAATTATTTAACACTACTGGGTGTAATGTCGCCATATAATGGTAAGCGAGGTTAGTCGATGGCAGTCGCCAATAAATGTCTTACCTGTATATATTTAAGATACAAATGCCGAATCATCTCTAATTGGGCAATCTGCTTTGTAGGTCTCCCGGGTACTGTTCCCAGCAAGCTTCTTGCTACTCAATATTCTCTATTGGTTCGGATACGGACACTATAAACCATCAGGCTGGGAGGATTCGTTTCAACCCCCAGCAGTCGTGGCTGCCCCTACAGGATACAATTTTAGTGGCTTTATTACCTCCGGCGGAACGCCACCCACGCCAGCGCCTTTATAGGAACGTCGAAATAACAAGTTGTATTTCAATAGGAAAGTTTTAACTGAGAGAACTTGAATTTACGACTTTAACGTGTTTCCTTCAGTAACATAATGTCCAGCTGAGTCTCCTGCATTGATACTTGTACTTAGTGGCCTTTTTTAGACGCTATAGATCTAGATCCTGATCAATGTACATTTATGAAATCGACATGATACGGAAGCTAAGGTAATTCAAAGCTCTTAATGTCATCATGCATACATTAGATGATACAGTGTTAAGTGAAGCTTAGATAATACTTAAGTATACCTTTCTGTTATTGCTTAGAGCGATCCCGGGTAGTGTGATTGAGGTAAGAGTTCTGAACGTAGTAAGCAATCTATTAAGAATATAGCTATGGTATATGATAATTTTCGTATGTATTATTAGAAACAATTCAAGTCATAGATTGTAATAAATTAAACCATTATGAGTCAGGTGATGAAGGACATTACTTACTTCAGCCAATAGCGATATTAATAGTAATTTTTATTGTTGTAGAAATTATAGGTCGACGTATCGTATGGTAAACATTGTGCATCAAAAAGGAAAAAGGCACCATACTTATAAGTGGTACTATAAACGTACATGTCACGTGCTGCATCTCTCATGTGGTGTTGTTACACAGCTAGGACGAGGTGGGCGTTTAAAGATAGTTGTGACACTCGTAAGGTCGGGTAGAGAGGCAAAGGTTCTTTCGATTTCTAAATATACTTTACGATCCGCTTCTATATTATTATTACTTTAACTTGATTATTATTAACTGCTCAGTATTTCAAGCTACTGGACTGAATAAACCGTGTGACTCGCACGTAGTAAAGAATGGTTTCTGAGTTCGAGTCTGGTCAAATAATACTATAGGAATTGGGTATGGCATACAAATTTAAGCGTATGCTAGCGACATTTATCTTTATGGGAAAGAGTTCAACAGTCACTACCTGTTGCTTTATTTACACGCGTATGGGTCAACTACAGGACGAGTGACCCTATCTTTGTGAGAACCGATCGGACAGACAGCGGGTGTCGAAAACTTATTCGAAACTTAAGTTACACAACAGAGATTCATTGTTTCAATTGGTCTGATTCGTATCGTTTGGTTCGATGTCGCAGTTGCATTGTTCGGTGCTTAAGTCCTCCTACATTTATAAGTTACTCTGTGCAGTGAATGAAGGACGGCTGCTGTTTTATCTGGCGTGGTCGCTTCCACATGTACAGTAAGAAAAAAGGTTCCTAAGCTTAGTAGTTGATTGACTCCCGTAAGCGTTACGCGCTTGAAATATACAGTTACGTTTCGAGGAATACGCACTTGCCGACGTGGTAAATATGGTTATGCTAAATTAATTTGCAAATATACCTAGGGTATTGTATCTTCGTTTAAGTTTGGTAGCATTAATGTTAGTATTCGATTGTTACAACACAAGCAGTAACACAAAAATGAGCATTTTAAATGGAGATCGATGAGGTTAAAAAGGTGGGTTCCATTTTGGTTGGCCCTAGGCAAACACGTGTATTTTGCGCCTGTGGAAAGCCATCTGCGGCCATATTTGTTGGATTTCTCGCCGAACATACTTGAAAGTCACGAATTTTTCTCTGTTGCCACAAGGTAATATTTCTCCTGGGGTTCCGATAACGCAGTACACAGGTAGGTTAGCCATTCCTGACATACATACGCAGCGAGGACCAAGGACAATACTAAGCTTGAAACTGCGTGCCTGGAAAATTACTTGATCAATTATGAACACCTATTACATGTTGGTTTTCATCGGTCTTGCCGCCTCAGTGCAATGACGGGAGCCAAGAGTAGAAAAAATCAGGCTGTTATAATGCTGTGGTATGCTTTTCCTTCCCACAGTTGCCTGCCATAGACAAGAGGGAACCTAATCTCAGCTAGCCAACTCTATCAGCGTACGTCCGAAGAGTTCAATATAATTCGTCAACTGTTAATCCAGAGATGACATCAATATATGTCGACGTACCGCTAATGTCAAGCGCCGCAATGCTTCTGAAATGATTAGTCTGCCTTTTTTTTTGATCATCTATTGTTTGGTCCTAGAGGATCACTAGGTACAATAGGACTTAAGCTTACTTGTCCTAGCGAAGCTAAGAATGGCTAGCCTAAATTACTTTTTTTTTTCATTCCCACGAAATGGATTCTAACCACACTCGAAACTGGCCAAGGATCTTATTAATTTCCACAGCAAAAAACTCTACATACATCGAATATGACTTGTCAGATGATGATGGTCTTAAATAGAGTCGCTTTTAGCTTTATTTAATTAGAAAAAAAAAGGTAAATTAACTAATTTAGTTGTGAGGAAAGTTGGAAACAATGATATTCTACTACCAGGTTATCTGCAAAATGTTATTTATTATCATTATGCAATTAAAACTTTGTCACCCTTTTTTTGGCATAGTCAAAGTGAATCTTTTCCGGCAGTAGATTTTATATTTGGTCGAACCAAACGATCTGAAATGATATTGTCTTTGAAACTGTTTAGTAAAATATCTTTAGTTTTAATATGTATGATAAGACAAAGTCTTTATATGATGATAACTATTCAATAGCGCAATTACAAGATATAATATATTCAAATCTACTATTTTAAATATCGTGCCCGATATTGTTTCAAAAGTGCAAGAAATATTGAGTTAGTTTCTCTGCCTTCTATACGTTTATCGTAACGTCGTCTCACTTTGTAGCTAATTGTGAAAACTTACAAAACCGTAAAGACATTTATGATAAGAGTCGACTTAAAGGGAACTTAGAAGGACGTCGAAGAATGAACTATACGTGGGTTGAAAAAACTAAAGCATGGGGCGCAGTTTCCATATGAATAGTTAGCGCAAGCAGGAAATTTTGCGCCAGGAAGGCTGACAGCAACAAAACTCAGCGAGGCATGACTTTCCGGCACTTGCACTGTTTGGGGAAACGGACTGTTAGTGTTGACAAAGACAACATTAATGTTTTCCTCTCGTTAGCGCACCACTAATCGTGGTCACGAAATGTCCATCGATGGCTCGTGATTGACGAGGCTAGAAGGAGCTCAATTTGTGAAGAATTATCGACTATCAACTTTTCTCTTGTTGAGGTGACGTATAGCTTAATCGAAACATTTTCATAAAACAATACAGTATCATTTTCTTCTCTGTTCTTCGTTAGAAACCCTGTAGAAGAATAATAGCTAACACCTTATGATATTTTTAACCGACAATTAAACGTGCAGACATGACACGACTATCTACAATTGAATACTGCAGAGCTAAAATTACGCATCAGGAACATCACATGTTTTCAAATAGTAGGACCTAATGATGTCACGCTTACAACCCCATAGTACTGATCGTGTATAAAGGTATGAAATAAACATTTATCTTGCATAGCTTTTCGTAAAATGAATAGAAAAATACGAGGATCACTCATTTGTCTAAGGAACACCAACCTAATTAGCAGATATATGGTTTTGGTTGATTTTTTTTATTTAACGTGAATTTAAACGAGAGAGTTTGTTTCACAAGACCCTTGTACATCCTTAGGGGTCCCGCACCCCCGATGTCCTTGCTAATGTCACGTCGCTGGTATTCTATTGGTATAGGAAGCAGTCCGTCCCTGCGTGCAAAATCAGAGAACACCAAATGGTTCTTGTGGCAGTTTAACCTCTGCAAACAATGAACCGGTTGTCTTGCTACCACTCAACTAGCGAAGCTGTCTGAGTACATAGTTACTTATACTACATGTGGTTTTTGTTCACCTCGATAGCCCTCAGCTTATCTTCCTCTAGGAGATGCTTTATGAACTAGCGACCAAAATACGGATGCGCGTTTCATTGTTTAGGCGTGATCACAACACAAATTCGCAGTATCGGAACAAAATAATGCAATATTTTTTTTGATGAAGCTTAGACCTTCGTACGTTGCTACCTATGGCACTGGAAGGAACAGTCCCGATTATATGAAAAATGAAGGCTGAAAACTGATCAAAGGTAACTGACCCAAATTAAAAACTCAGCGGAATTAAAAAAATTATCGATTTGTTAGATCATACGTTACGATAAACCTATAGAATACTATAGGACAAATATTTGAATAAATGCACATCTACGTGCACAGCGAATAGTTGCAAAGTGCTAGGCAACGATAGCTAAGCCTGTTTGCTTTATTTTGGGGGGAAGCGGTGGACAACATGGATACGTTGGTCAACCGAATCATCAAGCACAAAGTAATTCGTCCTAAGACGTCGCCGAAATCGGCGTCCTACGAGGCCTAGCTCAAGAGATGAGTAAAGAAATTCGAAGGCTTAGGTTAGGATTGCGAATGGTCGGCAGGCCAAGTGAGGCTAGAAGCGTAACCATACTTGCGAGGAACCTACGGAATGCGACTCCACTCATGTGCGTGACACACGAAATACGCAAAGGGAGAACGCCTGCCGTTGTTTTCACAGAAAGCACATCAATACGCAGCACTTGCTGGATGCGATCGGCAAGGCAGGGCAAGCCAAGGGAACAGGCTCCGACTGAATTGACATTGTGAGGCTCGAGGGCCATAGTGTGGATTCGTCAACCCGTATGCCCAGTGTGTTAATCGGAGCGTATCGCCTAGCTGGCTTTCGATGGGCAGCGGTAACACGGCTGTTATGGGAAACTTGTCCGGTCAATGAATTAATCTTCCATGATGCTATACTACGTCGGACTAACCCAAGATGATCGCGACCAGTTCCGCCAAAGTCAGCTAAAATTTCGGTACTTCCAACCTATCATCCACGTCATCTGAATGTCAACAAAGCCGTACGCCAACTAATAGTGTGTTATTTTCCGGACAAAAGACTATGGACTAGCCTCTTTATGCTCCGTTGACCGGGAATTTACGAACCCGCTGCTGGCAGAGGGTGCGAATCTCTCCTCTTGGGTAAGGAAAGCAGCTGCAACTACAATGGGCATGATTTCAAAAACATGGCGTAATTCAAAACAACGATAGGCCTGGTTGCGGAAACCTGACTTGCGTACTCGTAATGCCAAGCATTCCTGATGGCCTAGGACACCGAAGGTTGCGCAGGCCGCAAGTCGCTCTTGGAAGAACGGAGTCCACCCGACACACGCACAAGGGAATCGTGAGTAGGTCTGAACGCCTAACGTTAAACCCAGTGAATGCTAAAGAATTCTAGCTTGGGATGAGAATATCCTGCTGAATAGACGTAGGTGTGATAGAGAACAGACCATAGGATAATAAATGAATGCACGTTCGCAGCTGCGTAGCTGAGTGGCCACGAAGCGCTTGTTCCTTCCAGCCAGCGACAACGCTAAGCTGATCCGTCTAAATACTTACCTGCTTCTCATTTATATCTTCTGACTTGTTTTGTAGTTTTTTACTACTAATATGTGAAACATTTTGTCTCATGGAATATAGCTT